TTACACTTGATGGTGGTAAAGTGTATATTCTCATGTAACTTCATAGGATCCCCAAGCACCATAACATGTTATGACACCCGTTTTACATTGCAGGATCTGAAGTCAAGGAAGTTAAGAGACTTGACCACCAGGGTCCTATAGCTAGTTAGCTGCACAGCCAGGCATAAAGCCTGAGTCTCCTGGGTCCTCAGTCCTCTTGTCACTTTCGTTCCTGCAGCAGCCTTCGGCTTTCCATTAGTAAACTCAGGAGAAGAGCCCACTCAACTCCTCTACCACCCCACAGCACTAACTAGCACAGGAACGGCAGGGAAAGGAAGTAGGAGTGGCATCTTCCTGGAGCTTATCTCACTCACTCTTTCTAGAACCTTCTATCCAGGGTGTGTACAAAAAAAGAACCAGGGTTTGGGATCACAACTGACTTGAGTTTGAAGACCTGCCCCACTGTTTATTACCTCTTTGACCTTGGGCAACTTACTAAACCTCGCTCTGCCTCTGTTATAGCATCCTTAAAATGAGGATTAAAATAGTATATACTTCAGAGATCTCGTTGTAGGACCAAATAAAATATAATTTATATGGAGCTCTGAGCTCAGACTCTGGCACATGTAGGTGCTCAAGAATGTTTGTCCCCTTCTTTTCCACCTTCTCAGCCTAGCCTAGAAATTGTTCTCAGCTTCCCCAAAGTCCTGCTGCCACTCAATCCTTCCTTTATGAATTCAAAACGCTAAGCTGGGCCCCAAAGAAAACAAATGCAGTCTTTGCAGGGAAGCCTCTCTAGTCAGAGATGTAGCCCTTTGAGCCTGGAAAGCCCCTCAGTGTGGCACTCAGCCCTCACCTCCTCCTCCCTGTGTCCCCTCCCCCTTGTGTTAGGGATGATGTGCTATCCTGGGACAGCGCTGTGGGTCCCGGTCATATATGGGATGGAGATTCCAGACCCTGAGGGCTCAGGGCTCATGGTACCCATCCTGGGCATGGAGATTGATGGGAATTCCAGTGATGCCACGCCCCTGGCAGGTTCAATGGAAGATGCCAACGGCAAAGGTAGGAGGGAATTTGGAGCCTCCTAAAGCCCTGGGGGATCAGGAATGTAACTGAAAACCCTGTAAAGCTCCAGAAGGGTACCCCCAGTCCACTCACTCATGAGCCAAAGAGTGGGGTCATTCTGACACTACCACTAGGGCTGCTGAGACCCAAAATAGAGGTGCTCAGTGATTCCAGAACACTGGTACCACAGATCACTTATCCCCTACTGAGAAAACTGGATCCTTTCAAAGATGAGCGCTTCAGAAATTCCCCACGCACCCTCACCCTCAGGGTCTGTGCCTTCCAGGAAACCCTCTAATCCCACTCAGAGCCCCTCGAAGGGTGAGCAGATTTCTCAGGCTCCTTTAGCTCCCTCCCAGCCGTGTTTCCTTCTTCCCATGACTGCCCCTTCCTTCTTTCCCCATCACTGGTTCCTGAAGCCAGTGATGGGCTTGGCATCCCACAGGTCTGGTCCCAATTGCAATTGGGGCTCAAGCCGTAGACCCCTTGACTGGGGAACCTGGTCCCGTCATTGGCGCTCACATGGACCCTTCTGCCAGGGTGGTGGTGCCCGTTGTCCAGGTGCTGGAGGCCTTACCTCGGGGAGTGAGAGACCCCGGTCTGGTATGTAGGAGGCGATGACTCTATTTCTTCATTCACTCAGCAACTACATATCAAAAACCTTCTGTGTCTCAGGCACTGTGTTTGGTGCTGAATGCAGAAAGCTAGACAGGGCCCCTCAGGGCACTGGGCAGCTGTAGGTGCCAGCCGTGATCATGGTTTACAAGGGTGTTAAGGGAGCACAGAGGGGGGGCATCTAAATCACGGGGTGAGAGTTCAAGGAAGGCTTCCCTAAAGAGGCAACACTTGGGATGAAACCTGAGGAAGGAGTCAGAGAAAGGCCTCAGGGACCAGCAAGTGCAAAGGTGGCAGGTGTGAGACCACGAAGGTTCCAGGAGAACGAGGAAGGCAGAGGGGCAAAGGCAGCAGGTGAAGCCAATGAAGAAGGTAGGAAATGAATCATGAACAGCCTTGTGTGCCCGGCTGAGGCCAAGAAATGTAACTTATCATGAAAGCCATGGGGAGCCACTGAAGGATTCTAAGTAGACATGTGATATGATCAGATACGAATATTTTCAAGACTGTTAAATTTGGAAAATTTAGAACAATACAAAAAGAAAATAATTACTCAAAATCCTACCACATTTTTTAAAGTATCTAAATAAAGATGCAAGAGCTCCCTCCTCGCCATTCCTCTCTACTCCATCTGCCATCAACAACTACCCCATTTTGCTCCTCTATCCAGACACTACTCACCTCTCCTCCAGTCTCTCCCTCCAAATGCAGCCACTATTAACAGGTTGGCACACCTCCTCCCAGACATTTTTCTGCTTGAGTATGTGTGTATATAATCAGCATTCTAGAAAGTTCCCTCTGGTAGCAGTGCAGAGGATGGATGGGAGCAGGGCCAGACTAGAGCATGAAGCCCTGTCAAGAGGTCATGGCAGTAATTCAGCCTCTGGCGGGTTCTCCACTGAAATGAAAATGATCTAGGGTCCTCCCATGCATTCTCAGCCTAGTTGCAATTTCAGAAACAAAGATAGATATGTTATAAAAGATTATTGGTAAAAGCTAAGAAATATAAATTCCAGCCCCCCCACTCACAGTTTCACAGATGAGTTTGAAGGAGCAATTCGAGGATCTGAGAACTATTTCCTGCTGCCACGTGCCCATCTCCCCTGGCCTCCCAGGAGAAAGGTGGGCAGGGGGCAGGTGACCCTGGAGAGTCCAGGTGTTAGAAAGAGGGAGGGAGGGCCTGGGAGCTTGCAGAAGGTGTGTGGTGATTATTTTTCAATCTACCATCAAGTCGTTTGGCTCACCAAGCTTAGTCACAGATGCCCAGAGTGGGGGAGGCCCAGGTCTCGAAAGGCTTTGTGGTTCTTCAGCCAGAGCCCAGGCAGTGAGGAGAAAAAGTGTGTGGGCCCTAAACAAGCTGGACATTGCAGCTGGACACCCTGGAGAAAGAGCTGAGAGCCCGGGAGCAGTACTGGCACCACCAGGGACACGAAGAGGCCCGGCTGGTGGAACACCTGAGCGCCCTGAGCCAGCAGCTGCTCTCCACTCCAGGCGAAGATGTGGGGCAGCAGGTGAGGCCCAGAGGCCCCGCCTCATGGCCTCACCCACCCATCTGCCCAGACTGCACAGGCTCCTCTTGGAAGTGGGGAGCCCTTTTCTCTCCCCAACCACAGGAATGGAGCCCATCTCAGGGCAGAAAAATCCCAGGATTTCCCAGCTCCAAGCCCAAACTAAGTGTCTCCGCAGGATGGAGGTGGGGGGGAGGGGGGAGGAGCTGGCCCGTGCCCAAGCTCCTGCCTTCCCCTCCACGACACATCCCTCAGTGCCCCCTGTCCCGCCCCATAGCTGAGGGCTGCTGAGGAGGCCTGCGTGGCCCTGGAGTCCTGCTGCCTGCGGGAGACCGAGAGGAGAGCCGGAGCCCTGAGCAGCCACAGCGGCCCAGAGCGGGTCCTGCTCTCTCAAGGTGGGGAAGCAGCATCCCCGGGGCCCAGATTCCTAGAGCAGAAACCTCCTGGGAGTGGTGCCACCAATCGCAGGTGCCCAGCAGCAGTCCTCCTGCCCTCTCCACGTGTTCCTCTACCTCCCAGGTTTCCAGCCGGGCCCTGGCTCTGACCTGGCATGTTCCCCTGGCTCCAATAAACCATTGTGTCTTTCCTTCTCCTCCCTAACCCCAGAGGTGGCACTGCCATGTGGTCCTTTTCTCTTCCCCTTGCAGCAGACAGGGAGGAGTGGATACAGGAGGCGCAGGTGACTCTGGGCATGCAGAAAGTCCTGCAGAGTTTAGGACATGCAGCAGGAAAGCTCAAGCAAGCAGTTGGCCGGCTGAGTGGCCAGGAGGAGGAGATGTGGCTACAGCAGAGTAGGAATCAGAGCCCCCAGGTCTGGAACCATCCCAGGAAGGTGAGGCTCAGAGGCTGACAAGGGGACCCGTGTGAGATAGCACATTTGCCCATGTCATCAGATGTGGCTCTTCAGGACAATTCAAGGATGGCTGGACTCAAGGAGCAGCTGGTAGTCTGGGAGGGGAGCAGGAAGAAAGAGAAAGAATCTCCATTCTACTTGTGGCATTTCATTTTCTGTGTTCTAGGTGATTTGGCATCTCTCCAATGAGTTTCAGGAGATGGTGAGAGCGAGACAGATCTTCCTGGATAGGGCCCTAGGTCAGTTACATTACCAACGGGAGCTGAGCCGCCTCCAACTCTTGCACACCCAGGTACTGACCTCCGGACTTGGCCAAGGGGATCTGTATGCCAACTTTTGTTGGGGGCTTCAAAGAGAAGCTCCCTAAGCAGCCACGTGGGACATGTAGGAACCAAGCACAGGACTAGGTTCTGACTATTTCATCCTAGATTGTTGCCTCAGGAACCCCTGTGTGTTTGGAGAATTACCCTGGAGACAGATTTTCTGGAACAATCATCACTTCTCCCAGGGACCAGGCTGCTGCCTGCCCGCTGTTGATCCCCTTCCTGAAGAGCCTCACTGCAGCACTAGTGGGAGCTCAAGGCCATGGCTTAGGATTGGAGGATGGGGGGCCAGGAACAGGTAAGGCTGGTCATGGGTCCAATGTTCCCTTCTGCTGCTAATGCTGATCATGTTTTGATAAGTTCTAATACTATAATCAGAGCTTCAAGCTCCATAAGAGTGTGGCCATGGTAGCTTCTTTAGGAAGAACATAAAGAAACCCAACGTGGGCTTCCCTGGTGGCGCAGTGGTTGAGAGTCCACCTGCCGATGCAGGGGACACGGGTTCGTGCCCCGGTCTGGGAAGATCCCACATGCCATGGAGCGGCTGCACCCGTGAGCCATGGCCGCTGAGCCTGTGTGTCCGGAGCCTGTTGCTCCACAACAGGAGAGGCCACAACAGTGAGAGGCCCGTGTACCGCAAAAAAAAAGAAAAAGAAAAAGAAACTCAACGTATCAGTTATACACTGCCGTGTAACAAACTATTCCAAAATTTTGTGGCTTAAAGCAACAAACATTTATTATCTCACAGTTTCTGTGGGTCAAGAATCTGGGTGCAGCTTAGCTGGGAGCCTCTGGCTCAGGGTGTCATACAGGCTACAATAAGGTATCATCAGGCCAGGGCTGCCATCATCTCAAGGTTTGACTGCAGAGTCCAAGTTCACTCTTGTGGCTATTGGCAGACCTCAAGTCCTCACTGGCTTTTGTCCAGAAACATCAATTCCTTGCCACATGGACTTCACAGGGCAACTCACAACACAGTAACTGTTCCTTCAGAGCAAGTGAGAGAGGGCCAAGAAAAGGAAACTACAGGTTTTTTTGTATCCTCATCTCACCACTTTTGCCATATTCCATTCATTAGAAGCAAATCAGTAGATCCAACCCACACTCAAGGGGAGGGGATTACACAAGGGCATGGATACACATGGGGGATCACAGGGGCCATTGTAGAAGCCACATACCACACCTGTTGCTACGTCTAGCTCTTTTTGTCTTTGGCCACAGTCCTGTGGTCACAGTTCCCGACAACTACTTTCTTCTCCTCTGTTCAGATGCAGATAAAGTTGATGTCACATGGACCTCACCACTCTTCTCCACCCTGAGAAAACTAGATATCAGGTCCCAAGCTCACAAGGATGGAGCTGAACTGCAAGGACAGGTGCATCACAGACCAGGTAATCTCCTTCCCCTGGGAGCTCCTGTTTAGAATTATCACGGCGCACTGAAGGTATTCAATGGTGTAACCCCTAGGTCTAGGAGTATCAGAACCCTGCCTTGCCAATCATCCCTTTCTCCCCACCCATATCCTAGGATTCCCAAGGGATTTTTCCATATGAGGAATAACAAATAGAAATCAAAGTCCCACTGTAATAATAACTTGGCCAGTTCCCCCAAAGGGAATTCCTAAAGGCCCTCTATCCCCCCACCGAACACTGAATCTAAATCTTGGGATTTTACCCCATCCACATGTTACAAGGAGTTAATGGAAAAGTGCGATACACAGGGAGATAGACAGAGGAGACAGAGAAAGACGACCTTGCCCCAGAAAGAGACTCCAAATCACTTTACCAAAACCACCTCCTTGAAATTGGAAAGAGAAAGTGGCTGGCTTGAACTGAAGACTCGGGTCTGTTTCAACTCACCTACCTCCCAAGTGGGAGAAGATTAACAGGAAATGAATGTAGGCCTTTCAGGTGACCACAATGCAGGCCACTAGTAAGCACAGTTCCAAAAACATATTTGAATTTGACTAGGGGTCAGCCAACTATTGCCCACAGGCCAACTCCAACTTGCTATCTATCTTTGTATGGCCCACAAGCTTAGAATGGTTTTACATTTTTAAATGATTAGGGAAAAATGTCAAAAGAAGAATAACATTTCTATGGAGTGCTTTACAATATATCATGTGCTATTCTAAATCTTTGGTTATGTTAGCTCATTAAATCTTTATGACAATGCAGCAAAGTAAGTAGTATTAGTCATTTTATAGATAAGGAAACTGAAGCTTCTGAATAGGTCAAGCAAGCAGTGAAAAATTGTATTGCTATTGAGAAGTTCAGCTGGAATTCAGTCCCAGAGAGTCTCACCCTAGAGCCTGTGCTCTTAACCTGCTTCCCCATATGAAAAAGTATCCAATACTGTAAAGGCAGTGCCGAAAGGGAGATGCAGGCAACATACTCTGCTGAGTTCCCAGGAGGGTAGGTCACTGTATCAGAGAAGCAAGGGAAGCCTTTGTAAAGGAATAAAGCCACACTTCTACCCTGATGATAGGGAACACTCAATCTGAACCCCAATTTTGTCTCTTGGCTGGAAAACCTAAAATATTTACTTTTTGACCCTTTACAGAAAACGTTTGACCATTCTCAATATTAATTCTGTCTCCCCTTGGGGTAAAATAAGAAGAATATGGGCAGAGAGGTGGGCCCTCCTTTGAGAGTTCCCACCACTACTTCAATTTTCATTGTCTTACGTTTGACTTTATAATGTTGAAATCGATTTGGTATACATTGTCTTGTTTACACCTGGTAACCCAAATTCTGATTCTGTAAGACAGTGGAATTTTTTTTATAGATGAGAGAACTGATAAGTCGTTAAGTGACTTTCCCAGGGTCTTACAGAACCTGGACCAGAACTCAGGTCCTCTGACTGCTAGCTCAGCATTCTTTCCTGAGAATTTCCTGAGTGTTTACTGTGTGCCAGTTCCTGTTCTGAGTACATTACATTTAATGCTCCAAACAACCCTATGAAATAGAAGAAAGTCTGTCGCCATCTTTTCTGGACCCTCATTCTGTTGTTCTGGAACCTCTGTTCCTAATGACTGGAAGTCAATTGCTCTTCCATGGCAACTGGCAGGACAGCCTGATCCACAGTGTATATACAGCACTGGAGGATGGATGGCTGGATACAAATACACCTTTTCCTAAGCTGAATTGTGTTGCTGTTGTTCTTGTTCTTTTCATTAATATATCATTACTGTATGCAAAAGTCAGTGAAATCTTACTGTTTTCTCTTGATCTCTGCAGCCCCCAAAACCTCTTTGCAGGATCTCCCAAAACCTCAGATAACGCAGAAGGAAGAGCTGACAACTGTGCAATCCACAGACCTCTCTGCCAGGGAGTTTGTGGTTTACCAGCATGGCCTTTCCATCCTGCATCTCCTCATCCCACAGCTTCATGTGAGTCTGGTTCTGGTCGCTCTGTGGAGCAGTCATCCCTGGAGCCAAGAAGGTCAGGGTCACCAGGAAGGAGGCTTTGAGGTGGTGGATATTCCTTAGAATGAAGCACTCAGAACAGGGAACTTTCTAAGTCTCCCCTTTAAGGAGAATGATTGGAGTCATTTTACCAATCAAAAGTCTAATCTCTCAAATGATAGAATAATACGTAGGATGAATTAGGTACTTTGTACATAACAGAAAATGTTCTATTAGTTTGCATGAATTAACTCATGTAATCTTCACAAAAACCCTATGGCACTGATGTTATTTTTTTTCTCATTTTAAAACTGGTGGTGGGGGGGCGGGGGAGATACAGGATGGTTGAGTAAACTTATCCAAGAGCACACAACCAAAAGGGGAGAGCCAGGTTAGAATCCAGGCACCATGGCCTGAGAGCCCTCATGCCTGACTGCCACTTTACCTCTGTTTAGAAAAGTAGTAAATCAATGCTTGTCGTTAGCATAAATTTCAAACACTGAGTTAAATACTCCTTCCACTTTCCTGTAGTCTATACTGAATCCACTTATCCTGTTACAATTTAAACTGATGTCTCAATGCATTGACTTCCCTTTCTTGGTTGGTGCTACATAACTGAGCTACATGAGAATCTTTTAGCAAAAGGGTGGGTTTTGTTTTTGTTTGTTTTTTATTCTTTTCAGGCTCCAGAAATCACCCTGCAGATTGCTTCTCGTCTTCCTGCCATGGAAGCCTCAGACAATGCCTTCCAAGGTTCCTTCTTCTATCAGGTGCTTCAAATTCCCAGTCTCAGATGCGGGGTTTGTAGAATTCTAGGGTCTAGTAAAGAGAGACAGAAGCAAAAAGAACAGATGTAATAGAACATTTTTCTCTCTCAAGTCCTCACATATTTTATTCCCTCTAGGTAATGTCATTTAGGTAAGGCATAATAAATGTCCCCATGTAAGAGCTTTCTCTAATTAGTGAAATGACTATGTCCTGGCTTGTGCCCAGAGAATCATAATGGCTTTGTGCCCGTTAATGAATCTCTGTCCTTATCAAAGCGGGTGGTTCCAGACTGGTGTTTCCCGTAAGAGTCATGGTCCCAGCTCAGGAAATCCTGCGCATTCAGCATCTTTCTACAGAGAGGGATCTAAATTGTTCCTGTTCTGGTAGTTCCTCAAATATGTAGACTGGCAGTGCCTTGGTGGAACTCTCAGCTGGTATATATCGACCTTACACACTATGACAGTAAGCAATGATTGTGAGAGGGGAACTGCTAACCAATGTTAGAGGACTAGTAAATGGCTTATACTTGACTAGTAGGTTGTTAGGGGATTTAATAAAACCAAAAATTACTCATATATGATATTCTCCAGGCATTAATTTACTCGATCCTCAGGGCAATCTATGAAATAAGCAAGAATTTAATCCTTTCTTACTGATGGGGAAACAAACTCAGGATTCATTGAGTGCTATGTGCCAGGCACTTGGCCATATGCCTTACATGCATTATCTCATTTATAACTTACAGCACCCTAACCCCAAGGTAGGGGGTGTCGTTTCCATTTTATGAAGTAGGAAATTGAGACCCAGGGAGGCCACGTAACTTGCCGGAGATCACAGTGTGGCAAGAGTTGAAACTCAAGTCTGGGTGTGTTTGACATCAAACTTTTTTAATCACTACTCTGTCCTGCCATCCACAGCTAATTCCAGAAACTGACCTCAGACAGCTGATTCCAAACCATCTAAGGCTTTTCCATGCCAACCTATTGCCTCTGAAGGGACTGAACGAGGAGTTATTTCAAATCAATTAGGCAAGACAGGAGATTTGAGAACCTGATTACAATAATGGCACAAAAGACAAAGAAAGACTGAGAGCCCTGAGAAGGCAACGCTTCTCAAACTCTGGTCCTTGGGTCTCCTGCATCAACCACCTGGGGAGTTTGGTAAAAATGGAAATGGTGAGCCCCCAGAACCAGAAATTCTGGGATGGGCCCCCAAAATACAATCACTCCTAGGTGATTCTTATTCACACTAAAGTTTGAGAACCACTGAGTAAAGAAACAGTAATTGGAGGACATTGATAAAAAAAAACAGAGATATATGGGGCATCCCTGGTGGTGCAGTGGTTGAGAGTCCACCTGCCAATGCAGGGGACACGGGTTCGTGCCCCGGTCCGGGAGGATCCCACATGCCGCGGAGTGGCTGGGCCCGTGAGCCATGGCCGCTGAGCCTGCGCGTCCGGAGCCTGTGCTCCGCAACGGGAGAGGCCGCGACAGTGAGAGGCCCGCGTATCGCAAAAAAAAAACAAAACAGATATATGAATAATTTTTCTCTGAATTTCCAAGTTTGTTTTCTGTAAGCTGGGGTAGCAAAAATATTGGGAGACAGATTTATTGGGAAAATGATTTATTCAGAGAGTTGAGCTAAAACGATAATTTTTCCCTTGACCTTTGAATCTTCCCTTCAGTAAATTTTCATTAAGCCCAGGGAGTCCGTGACTTTATGATTCCCAAAGTTGCTTTAGATCATATAAAACTAGAAAAAGAAAAGAGGCGGTGGAAGTGTTCCCCAAGGTTGACCTCTCTGTGTTTGGGTATTTTCTCCACTCAGAGTGCTGAAAACAAACTGTTTGTTAGGAAAGAGGGTTTGGCATCAGTGGGAAGTTTCGTTCTGCTGTTGATCCACTGCCTGGCCCACATCGCTGTCGATGACCTCCAACAGGACTCCAACCCCACCTTCCTGAGGTCATTTTACAAGGTATTTATAGCACGCACAGGCGTTTTGCTTCTCCTTCTCTGTGACTCACGCCCCATTCCCCAGGACAGTAAGTGCTATGAGCTTTGCAACATTTCAAATCTACTTAAGTCCCACTGGCGGCCTTTGGTTCCTACTGCCTTTCCCAATCAAATTTCCCGTGGCAGCATATGACAGAATGCATGCACCACTCTAAGAATTCTGGAGAGAAGTGGTCTTCCTATGCGAACAGCATCACAGCTTTCTGTGGATGTTTCATTGTCAACACTTGGAGCCTCAGCAGAATTACAAATGATAATAGTAACCCGTGGTGGGGGCAAGGAAAGATGATAAATCTCAAGCCCCATTTTTCTTTCAACTATTACTTTAAAGCTTTAATAGCAGTTGCCTGGAAGCTGAACTGATTATGCCCACCTCACCTTTTCCTTGACCAGGGGTTGAAGGCCTATTTCAGGGAAGCATTCTCTATCACTCTGCGAATGTCAGCAGTTTCCCAGGACAGTAAGCTTGGCCAAAGCATAAGCGCTATTCTGCTGGGAGAGCAGCCCATGTCTGAAAGAGGAAGAGACCTTCTCTCTAAACTCATTGAAAGGAAACATGAGTCTCACTTGGAGCCAGAGTCATCAGAGGAGGTAACTGGCTTTAACTTGTGTAGCACATGGTTTTAAAATTGACTCCTTCCCAGAGTAAATGCCTCAGTGTATGACCTATTCAGATATTTCTGGCCTCCCTAGGTGGTACACTGCCTTGACACTCAGGCTGCTTCTCAAACCACATATGACAATATTTTTTAAATCCTATATTCTGCAGGGCAGACAGTGGGGACCTGGCTCGTGGGGACTGCAAACACGGCTCCACAGTTAATTCATGTCCCACTAACATATTATCAATAAGTAAACAGAATTCCATCTATAAAACTCACTGTGACTTAGAGATTAAATTCAGATGCCCAAGTGGTAGCCTATTTACCCAGGCTTACTGTGTGCTGTTTTCTGTGCAAGCTTGACAATGGTGTTCTTTTTTTTTTTTTTAAGAAGATGCTGGGGTGGGAGTTTATTAATTAATTTATTTATTTTTGCTGTGCTGGGTCTTCGTTTCTGTGCGAGGGCTTTCTCTAGTTGCGGCGAGTGGGGGCCGCTCTTCATCGCAGTGCACGGGCCTCTTACTGTCGCGGCCTCTCTTATTGTGGAGCACAGGCTCCAGACGCGCAGGCCCAGCGGCCATGGCTCACGGTCCCAGCCGCTCCGCGGCATGTGGGATCCTCCCAGACCAGGGCACGAACCCGTGTCTCCCGCATCGGCAGGCGGACTCCCAACCACTGTGCCACCAGGGAAGCCCTATCTCAGCTTTTTAACTATTAAAATATAAAATTTAAATCTATGAACTTCCACTAAAAGACCGTCTTCCACTAAAGGTCAATTCATTCTTGAGTTATAAAGAAGAACATATTCTTTTTTCCATTATGTATATAAGACTTCATAAATTTCAAGGCATATATATATATACATGTATGTCTCATTTGAGCCATGCAGCAATCCTGCAAAATAGGTACCATACATATTTTTACTCACATTTTGTATTTAAGGGGAAATTAAGCAATTTGCCCTAAACCGTACAGCTATTTGTAATGGTGGATCTGGGACTAGATTCTAGATCATCTGACACCTAAGGAAATATTCCATATACATCTCCCTGTAATCAAACCTCCATTAGTTACTAAGTCAGATTTATTTGTGGTTGTTGGAGGTGATGGTGATGTTGGTCAATTCTCTATCCTCACCTAACAGCAGCATTTGACAATATGATTACTTTCTCCTCCTCCATCTACCTTCTTTACTTGGCTCCCAGGACACCGGCCTCCTCTGGTTTTCCTCCTGCCTCGATGACTGTTCCTTGTCACTCTCCTTTGCTGGTCGCTCCTCTTCTCCCTGGCCTCTTAATGTTGGAGGGACAGGATTCAGTCCTGTCCTCGTCCCTTCTATATTCACGCCCCTCAGGGGTCTCCTCTAGTGATCTAGCTTTAAATCCCACCTATATGTCAACAACTCTCAAATTTCATCTCCAGCCCTGACCCAACTCTCTAACTCAACTCATATATCCAGCTGCTTACTAACCATCTCCACTGGGATACCTAGTAAGTATCTCAAACTCAACATGCCCCAAACCAATCTTCTTTCCAAACCTGCTCCACTTGAAACCTTCCCCACCTCTGTTGATGGCAACTGTGTTCTTTTGATTTTTCAGGCCAAAGTCTTCTCTTCAGGCCAAACCTGTCTCTCTGTTACATACACCCCCAACAAATCCATCAGGATATTTTTCAGAAACTCTTCCTTCACAAACTGCTCCTTCAAGTATATCCATAATCTAACCACTTCTCATCACCTGTGCTGCTACCAGCCTGGTGCAAGGCATCTCTTGCCTGGGCTGCCATTAGACTCACTAACCGATCTCCCTGAGTCCAACCTTACCTCTCTTCAGTCTGTTCTCAGCATAGTCCCATAGTCATCCTTTGAAATTGAAAGTTGGGACTGCTCAAAGTCCTGCTGTGGTCCCCATTTCACTAGGGTAAAAGCCAAAGAAGCCAAGTCCCCCTTGTGTCTCACCCCCTCACCTACTACTCTTCCCCTCATTCATTCAACTCCAACCACACTTCCCTCCTTGCAGTTCTTCAGACACACCAGGGACACTCCCTTCTTAAGGGTTCCCTCTGCCTGCAATGTTCCTTCCTCCAAGGCAGTAGCTCCCAACCAGGAGCAATTTTATCCCTGGCTGGACATTTGGCAATGTCTGGAGACACTTTTGATTGTCTGACTCAGAGGAGGTGTGTGCTACTGTTAGCTAGTGGGTAGAGGCCAAGGATGCTTCTAACCATCCTACAGTGCATTGGACAGCCCCACAACAAAAAAATCATCTATCCCCAAGTGTCACTAGTGCTGAGGTTGAGAGACCCTGGTCTAGGCCTGACTCCCTTGCCTCCTTCATGAATTTGTTCAAGTGTCGCCTTCTTAATGACTACCGTGGCAACCCTGTCTTAAGCTGCAACCCTCTTTACCCTGTTCATCAGCTTTTCCTT